AGTTGTGGGAACTGGCAAAGAGGTACGCAGGGATCTTTGTGACATTTGACCAKCTGAACCCATGGCATGTCATAAAATACTTAATACTAATGATAATAAAAAAAAATTTGCTGATGCTTTCATGAGAAACATAACAAAAGGATAAAAACAATTCGGTTCTGTTTTGCCTATCTGCTATTATAATATGATTTGCCTATTTTGCCTATTTGCTATTATAATATGACTGCTATTATAAATGCATATTTGATCAAACCATAAGCGCCATACAAGCATTCAACCATTGGAGGGTCTTAACCCTCTGCTATGAACCAAGCTATCAGTATAAACTATTCAAGATCTAACAGTAGAAGATATTAACAGGTATTAACCTGGATGGTCTTTCATTCAAACAAAACCTCCATACAAAAGTTGTTTTTTTCCTCAGAGAAACTAGATGTAAGGTATTGATGAATGTGATRGAGGATTTCAAGTCACTCAGGGGAAGTAACCTGACTAGAGATCCTTCTTGAATCTGGATTTATCAGCAGATTTTATTATTTTAATTCACATATGCATCTATGGCAGAGTCTGTCTAAGAACAGAGTTTGGAAAGCTTCGAAGGSCTGTATTTTACATGCTTTAATTGCACTGAAGCACCAGAAAGAAGGACAGTAGTTTGGAGAGTCTGCACATGTACTGGGATACTAAAAGCATTCCATAAGAGATAAAAAGGGAGAGCTCTGATCAAAGGTTAAATTAACCACGTCCATATAATATAGTGTCTGTTTTCAAAAATATCAGCATAGTAAATGTCCATTAAGAGGATTTCAAAAAAGGATTTCAACAAGACATTGCCTTAAACCATTTTTTTCTCAAAGCAAAGAAAACCCTTAAGCTCAGCATCCTTTCTTGACTAGTTGCTGTTTGTCATTTGTTATTAAGACCCTCCTAATAATATGAACTGACAATAGGCATGTTTCTTGTATCTATGACTAAATGCATAAACAAGACAATATTTATTTGGTCGTAATGCTTTTGACTCTTGCAGGCAAAGTGTTACTTTCATTACTACGAAACATTCATTTTCTAGTCTGTCATCACTGCTTGAAGATCTTGCTACTTTTTCTATTTGACCAATGGTTTCTGCCTTCTCTGGATCTGTTTTAGAATCTGATGCAAAAATCTCTTGACCTCAAAACCTATCAGTGCACTAATGCACTTCTAAAATGTTTTAATGCATCATTGTTAAAAGTATTTAATTTTTTTTTCACTTAGATGAAAATTGTAAACATCTTTGAAATGTAATTGTCCTACATGAGGAACCTATTTTACACACAGATGCAATATTGCACAGAATCAGAGAGAAGGCATAAAGGATACTACAGAACCACTGTAAATTATAATGATGTATGTCCTCTAGCAGCCATCCAAGAGCTGGATGAGGATTTGTGCTTTCCTGGCTCAGAGGTAGTATTTAACCTATATATGGCTGGCATGGAAGTGGGTTAAAACTTCATTGGAAACCACTTCCCCCAAGCAATTTTACAAGATTAAAATTATAAAAATAAGATGTGTCAGAGCAAGCAAAAAATTCACTCCCATACATACAGCAAAAGTGATAGTGAAGCTGAGTAAGCAATTTTTGTAATGGAGTAAGTTGAAAATAAGGACACAATTTTCATTTGAACAAAAATCAATAAGCTTAATCCTTCTCTGCTGTATTCAACTTCTCTAAAATCAGTAGTCATAGCAATGCTGACTCTTGTTCAATATGCGTATTATCTACATATTATATATCTATAGGATATCCCCCCAAAAAAGGAAAAAATAAAAGAAATCAAATAACATGTTTTCTGCAGAAGTCAGCCCTCTAAGGGCTCTCTCAAACTAGTAATTCCAGTGGTGCACAGTGACAACTACATATTACTTAGTTCAAGCAATCAGACAAACTTTGAAGTACTCTAGCTGTATGGACTATAGAGTGAAACACAATTTTCTTTCTTTCAGATAAGTATTTTCTCCTCTCTGTTCATTAACAGATGAGATTTTATCTTTTTGTATTTTTATTTGCATGACCATTTCTAGTGCAAAAAGCACTTGTGAGCAACACTCAAGTTATTAGAAATATAAAGAAAAATATATTTGTGTGTACTATGTAAACTGAAGAAAATATGAATGTCTTTCTCAATGACAAATTGAACTTCAGAGATGGAATTAAGAGCTCAGGACAACAAAAGTTGCTATATTCATCAAAATTACTGACACTGACACTTAGTTTTCTGATTTTCCCTTTCTCTTGGGGCTCAGAAATAATCACTACTTCCCAGCCATTGACAATGTGTGGGCAACAACTCAGAGGATTTAATGCCTCAAAGGGAATTGCAGACTATACTCTCCCTGTCAGCCTATTTTTTTTTTGTTTTAATTTGCTAAAGATGTGAGAAAAGCTGGTGAGCTTTCCGAATGACACACTGGTTACAAACCATGGCTTGAGATACAACTGCTGAGGTTACCTCCCCAGGTCCCTTCTTGCCTCATCATTCTCTAATTCCTCAAGAAACAAGACTAAGGTAAAACAGACAGCAAACAACCTCAGTATTTGGTAAATAATGAATTGCCATCTGTCCCAGAGCGTTAAAACACTAGTTAAAAGAAATGGTTTTACAAGACTCTGATCTTTACAGGTGTTTGTGGTTTGCAGTAGTCACAACGGTGTTCTTTCTGTCCTCATGGTGCTGCCACCGTTGGGGGCTCTGGTGAACTCTAACAGCAGCCTGTTGCAATCAGGTCATCCCTCCCGGAGCTTTCTGTACGTGAATGTATGGGAGCAACACTTCTGTGACTAGCAAATCCTGACAACACAAAGCTAAGACAAGGTGTTAACACTGAGAATGCACTGAAAAAACAGGCATATATTGATCAGCAAAGGATAAGATCCCTTAAAATACAAGGGACATGCTACCTTCTGTGAAAATAAAAGTCAGTATATGCACATAAGCCTCAAACTTCTATTGAAGAGCTGTGAAATGGGCTATCCACCAATAGTTTGTAAGCAAAGATAAACATCCCTTATAAGTAAAGATGGCCTAAGCCAGTTGTTCAGACAAAATTCCCCTCTGATCCCACCATATACTGGAAAATAAGAAAGAGGGATGTTAGAAGAGATCCTGCAACAAATTCTCCCATTCCTCCTGCTCAGCTCCACACCATTCTCGTTGTCCTTGATGCCCACCACCTTCTCCTCCATGGAGCATCCTGGCCCTCTCTCCCCTCGCTGCCAGGGATCGCATGCCTCACACTACTCCGTTTGTCTTGTTGCAGGAAAACCTCTCCAAGCTAGTCTCTCCTTTCCCCCCTGCATTCCTTCTATTCCCTGCATTTTCTATTTGAGAATAGCTTTGGCTTAGTCTTCCATATTCTGACCTCACCTCCCCCTAAGAAATTAATTCACATTTTGAAGGACTTGTAGTGAAATTTCTTCCTGTTCTCCTGCCCACGGCAAAACTGTGAAGGTTGGATTTGAACTGACTATGGCTGTGTTGAAGCCCGAGTCAACAGCTCCTGCATCTCCATAAAATGTCTTCAGTTGACATGTAAATAAGCAAGCCACTGTCTTTTTCAGTTATTTTGTATATATTCAGTACAAGATAGACAATCATCTTAAAAAAAAAATTCAAAAGCTGCTTTCCTGCAGTGACGTGGAATATGTGATATTAACTACAGCAAACACCAAATAACACAGTGTTTTGAGTATATTTGAAACACATCAAAATAACTGATAAAGCCTTAAGTAACATTTGGGATAAAAGACATCAGAGGATCTGTATCTTAAGAATTCCTCATTTAAATACAGACGTTTTGTAACACTAGCCTAATACAATACCTCTTGAACACCACAAAATACTAGGCAAGCCAAGAGTACACATGGATTTGAATACACTTAGAAGAGACAGACTGTAAATAAGAGCTAAACATGGATGGCTCCTGTTCCCTTATGACAGAGAAAAAATACCAAGTCAGTTTTCAAATACTACCTGCTTTTGTTTTCCTTTCACCTGCCAATCACGCTGCTCACTTGGTCTATAGCTATTTGTTCTCCATTGTACCTTTTAATTGGATATAGTATTTTCCTTGTTTTCTTTATATATTTTTGAATGTCTTGATTGGGAAAGACAGACTGGTATCAACAAATTTTTACGACAATCATTTCAAAAGACCAAAAGAATTCCCCCTTCCTCTTTTTTTTTTTGCCTTGCAATTAAAGCTGGAGCTCAGAAGTTTTGTAGAAGCTAAAAACCTCATAAAATCCTCTTTTATGAGCACTCTTAATTCCCAGAATTTGCGTCTTTTTTTTTTCCAGTGTATGTATATCATCAGTTATTAATCTTTTGAGTGAAGATCCAGTTACAGTAGTTGCTGTCTTACTTCACTGAAGACAAAAGGGGACACACAGCACTTGCCTCTTCTAACTAAAAGAGGAACCCATGACTTGCTGTTATATATTAAAATTTATTGCTGGGACTCACGAGCACTTCTCTATGAGAAAATCCAGTAGCTTTATCAAACAAATCTTTACTGAAAAGGGATTCCCCAGTGAACTCACCAAACAGAAAACTCAAATCAAATGTTTTCACATTGTGCATAAATATGGTCTAAAACTCATGATCACATGATACTCTGGAAGGCAGAACTACTGGCAGTCAGACTACACTAGCATGTAAATTGGGTCATAAGTTTCTTATTTCTTTAGGAGTCTTGTCTGTACCAAGCCTTATTGAAATAACTGAGATGTATGGAATAGTCGGCACCTGGAGATACTTTGGCAGGGAAATTGGCTGCTGTTGTAACTTCAGTTCAGAAGCTGAGAGACACTTTAGAGTGAACTGGTCTATCAGAGAAATATGCCCATATTTTGTACTACACATGACCACTTGGAGCACGACAGTGACTTTTGGAAAACAGTGCTACCATGCCTGCACAGTTATGACACAATTATAATTTTTAAGTGAGTATGCTTTTACCTGCCCCAATAACTCTCTCAATACGAATTCTTGAAGGATCTATCTCCTTTGCAAACTCATGGACAGCAAGGGATGGGTCTTCATACGTGTCTGGATCAATATATGTTTTGATTCCTGGAAAGCGTACTGAAAAAAAAAGAGAAAATCAAGAACTCTGTTACATTCAATGCTATAACGGTATGTTTTTCTCTTGTTGTTTGGCTAGACAATTAAAAGGATTGGCAATATTGTATTTTTCACTTTTAAAGTGCCAAAACCGCCCCCAAAATGATAATTTCTAATATTTTTAGAACACAGTATAGTGTCAATTTCACAGAAACCAACACTAGAGTTGGCTTATTTTGCTAGTATCACCAATGCCTTTAAGGTTTAACTAAGTAAGACTTAAAAATTTTCTCTTACCCTTCACGTGGCTTTTGTTAGGAGAGGCTTGTGAGACATTAAGGAGGTCTGTCTTACATGTGTATAGGCAGAGGGTAGTCTCACACAATTTAACAACATCAAGCCATCAAGCCATTAATTGATTCAAAATTGAAGGTGCTTTTTAGTCCTCCTTTTAATTCTCAATGTCATGTTTATAAATCAAGATCTCATTATGCCAACCTTGTCTCGTCAAACAAGCATCAGAGTAATAATCAATGAGATGTATAAATACTTGGTGGATAAAGGTTCTACTCAATATGTAAAAGTGTGAAAGAATTGAACTCTGTTGTGTATTTCTGACTGACACACACACAAATACTGAATCCTTTAACACGTCATAGTTCTGTTAATGCATGTAAGATCTTTGAGTGCATTGCTATTAAGGGAAGCTATGATAACGCCAAATAAGCCAGTTTATTTATTCATAGTTATTTTGGCGAAATCCAATCTATTTTATTTCTCAGAAGTTAGAAACTGGTGTGAAATGATTGACCTACAGTAATTATCTTTGTTCAAACCTTGGTTTCTCTCTTACTGTATACATGCCATGTCTACAAGATCAACATTCAAAAGTGTGACCTGAAACTCTGAGCAATGTCCTACTGGATCTTGCTCATGTCTCCGGAGATGTCCTGGATGACAGAAAGCATGGATACCTTTTCAGAGTTCGTGTGATAGCTACTGCATGCAGTTTCACATCAAATATCCTTTCAGCTTGCAATGACAACACAATAAATTTTAGTGTGAAAAATGGAGAAAATGTGTACTGGGTTCTCTGACTGCTATTTATACCTCTGCTTGGGAACTCGCTTTTGCTGGATACACAGTGCAACAGTTAAGTCCTTAGACTTAAGAGTTAAGTCCTGCCCTAGAGGAAGACAAATTAAAGGAGCTTCAGAAAATTCAGTCTTTGATATTCAAGTATTAAGATAGTGTTAAATTCTGTTCTTGTTTTGTCTCTATCCCAGCTTGACACAAGCATCTCTGGAAGTACAGTATTTCAGGACAATACCGAAGACAACAAAGTTCTTGGAAACATCTTAGAAAAGAGAAATACAGTAACATGCCTACCTCAGTTTTGAAGGAAGTGCTACATTTAGGCAAGACACAGTACATTGATGGTTTTGATATTGCAAGCCTTTCCTTTGCAATTACTATTTAATATTTTATTCTGAATAGGCCGGCTGGCTGGCGTCTCGATGCATTGCACAGGTCCTGAAGGAATGCACCGAGTACAGCTGGTAAATAGGAAGACTGGAAAGTGCAGCAAGTCACAAGGTAAAAAATGATTTCTGAGCCGCTCCTTCAAAGGGTGCCCACAGAGACACTGAATGAAGGCTCAGAGATGCACAGAATGGCAGGTCCTAAACAGGAACAGTAGTAACTGCCAAAGCAGTTTATGTGCCCTTTATTGCACCTTGGACAATTTAGACAATCCCTCCTTTACTTTGAAAACAGCGCTTGCTAATTTACTCGCTTCACCTACAGGCGAATGACTGAATAGTCTTCCTGACTAACGGGTCCAATTTTTGAGAGCCTTCTCCCTGAAGATAGGTGCTGAAGAACTGTGCTGCTCTCTTCTCTCCTGATCAACTTGCACAATCAGAGGGCCAGGTGCAAGACAAGAACAAAAATATCCAAATCCATTTACAAGGCTTCAATAACTTCTGTCTGCGTCTTTGGAGATGGCTGCAGCCGTAGCGGGTCGGTGCCAGGTTGTTTTGGCAGGCTCCAACAAATCGTAATTTTTTGGCATGGTTAACATCTCTCATGGTCATGAGTGCAGCACGTCCAAGAACTGATGCTGTTTCTCTTGGACTATCTGGATGGGGAAATTAAGGGCTACTGCCATCTGGTAATTACATTCTGGAAAACTTTCAGTATATCAGCAGAGGTTGATATATATAATGCATTGACTTATCAGGAAAGGAAGAGAGTGCTACAGATGGGTACAGAAAACCTCTTTTTAGAGAATTAAGTGCCTCTCAGCCTTCTTCCTCTTATCACTTAGTAGCTGAGTCTAAAGCAACTTGTTTGATAATGAGCCAAAATACACTTTCTAGGTGAAGAAGACCTAGTCCAGCATACATAAACGTGTTTTGACTTCATCAAGTAGTGTGCAATATTCCTTTAATGCTGATCGAGTACATACAACTTACAGAAATGGAGAGCACAGCAGAGATCATGGAATGTCATACTATCAACAAGGTCATTGACCCCTTTTTTCACTCCATTTGTAGTTTATTTCCTGAAATCTCTCTCTGATTCCCACTGAGCTCTCAAAGGACAAAGAGTGGAAGAACAGGAGATGGTTCTTCTCTGCACACAGCAGAATAGGAGAGAAAGCACCAACAGGATTGAGTTGGGGGGCAGGCACAAGCATTGGTAACCAGAGCAGGTTTTGCAGCAGAGCTCTTTTTTAAACAGGGCAGTATCACTGCTATAGAGATCCCAGCATCGACTGCCCAGATCAAAGCATTGTTACAGGCTGAGATGTATCAATTCTATAGGCTAGCTAGCAGTAGTCAGCAGGTAGATAAACATCACTACAAGCGTGGAAGAGGTACTGTGTGCTCAAGGTCAAGGAAGAAGGTGTGCTCAAGGTCAAGGATCACTGGCAATACAGTCTCAGCGCTATGGGGTAAGTCATGGTAATTCCTCTTTAACCTTGCATGGAACCCAAGCGTGTCAGTTGTGCCCCCTCAGGTCTGATGCTGAGATAACTGCACATGAATGAGAAGTCTCTAAGAAGCAGCAGTGTGTCAGTGTGATACGGGGTCATCGTTTACCCTGGCCTGAAGGAGACTCAAATTCAGTCATGGTCTCAGAAGAATGTATTAAACTCACCCTCAGAAAGGGTTTGTTCTTCTTTCTTTCTTACTGTGTTTGGAATCAAATGACATCCTTTGTATAAGCTAAGAGTAAGCAAAGTTAGCCATTCCCACATAAAGCTGATAAAACTGAAGCGAACTAAATAAACTAAACTAACAAACTAATATACTGTACAGGAGAGATTGCCAGGGTTTTTTCTCCCACTACTATTCAGCCAGAAGGAACGTGAGGGAATGCAGCCCACTAGACTTTTTATGTCTTTCTTGGCTGGAAGGTTAGGTCCCAAAAGGCACTGACAGCCACTGAGAACCAGATACAAACAAGGCATAGTTGTATCACGGATGGAATTTTGTGGCAAGTCATTCAGCAGGGTCCACAGCAGTTGTGAATTCACAGAAATATACCTCAAAAGTGATGGATGAACACTGTATTTTAATGAATGAATACCACAGAAACTTATTCACTAGAATAAATTCTGTGAAACTGTTCAGGAAAATAGACATGATGATACAGACAGTAGGGATCTATTCAGACGGCCAGATTACAGAATCAGAGGTAAAAGAGAGAAAACCATGAATATTCTTCATTTAAAATGTTATGTACATTTTATACTAAGTTTTATACTAATAAATAAGTTTTGAACTACTTACAGTGTCCATTTTGCAGATGAGCCCTTCTTTTCTCTTCAGACTTCATTTTGGCTTTTATGTACCATTGGCATCTTTCAAGAAAAGCAAGTGAAGCTTTAATTAATACAATTGCAATTCTTAAATCAAGTGCATATGAAAGCCAAAATCTGTACATTCTCAGTCTAAACAGATTTAGTAATGAAACTCTGAGAGAAACATGCACTACGAACAGTGACAAAAAGGTTACATATAAATAAAAATAAATCAGGGTTGGGTGACTAGTAGCAAATTAATTAGTGTTACAGTTCACATTTGCAGTTTGAAGATGCTTCATTTCCAAGTCTGAATCTTCTAAAGAATTCTGTCACTTTAAAAACAAACTATTATTTCCCCTGTCTTTGTGCTTGCACACACTGGTTTATGCCAATGAAATTTTACTACATTATATATCCAGTCGATCAAAAACCTCACATTTTCTCCATTGTTTCTATGACTTAAGCATGTTTCATAAAGAAAATATTTTTTCATATCAGAAGCAATTATTTCTTTTCCAGGTAGGTCTCTTTAATCTGTGCTTCATTAATTTGCTATTTCTCTTAGGACAGCAACATATACAATAAACAATTTGCAGCTGCTACTTAAATAGGGTCATTTAGAATATGCATGGTTACTATCAAAATGCAAATCCCTTGAATACTGCACATGAAGCTGTTGTTGTTCATTAATACTTACTGATCCTACCTGGCCCTACCTGGCAACGCAAAGGGCATGTTGCAGAAAACTGACACGACAAGCAAGATTTGAGGCTCCCCGTAATGAAATATCCCCTAGCCTGAATGCTGCCTGGTTGCAGGGCCTTTAACCTGACTCTTCAGAGAGGCTGAGAGTTGCAAAACAGAAATTCAGCTCAAGAAAAACAGAAAACTTTGGTCTTACAGCTCATTCTCATCCACAGAAGGGCATAAGAAGGAAGATTTCCAGTGACATGGAAACATCTATGTTTTGGGAGCCTGGAAAGACTGAAACAAGGCTAAGGACTCCAGCAGCAGGTACAGGCTGCTGGAAAGCAGGAGGGTGCATAGCCATGTGCTTTTGTCTGTAGATATTTAGCTCCATGACCAGCTGGAAAAAGTGACCAGCTTATGTGTTCATTATCAGCCTTGTAAAATGAAAAATACCTCTATAATTAAAGATATCTTAAAATAACAATAATGGAGATGCGACAAATATATGAATCAACGGGTCATTTAAACTACTGAAACAAACTAGGATCACTCGAAAATTCATTCACAGCAGATGATGAACACCTGAGGGTGATAACGTTGTAAGCTATCACAGCTGTGGTTTACAGGGCACTTGTTTTCCTGGTTATGCACCCTCAAGAATGGAAGCAGTTAAAGCCTGGATTCTTGGCCTCTCTGGTAGGTTTGAGAGTCTACAACTCCTACTGGGACCACAAAGTGTGTCAGGGCCACTGAGAATCTGGACAACTGGTCTGCAGGGTCCTAACTACYGTGGAAGCTTTTCCATCTAAGCTTTTCCACTACACACAAGCTTTTCCACTTAAGCAGCTTTTCCAGAGGAACGCAGTCAAGGAAACGAGACCTGTAGAGTTTTCCCAAGTACATATGTAGCCCCAAAGCTTGACTGCAGAAGCTCTCTGCATAATCCATAGCAGTGGACTCTCACTTCCAGCTTCCAATTTCCTATGATTATTATTACCTACTGAACATTCAGACAGGAATATTTTCTCCCATGATAAGAATGAATCACACTGAGCTTTAATTCCTGAAATTCAGCCAAGACTCCCATCTCCCTGCATACTCTGTGCCTCAAAGTCAGTGTTGCTTTCATTTTTTTTACTTTCTATCTGCAATTGACAGCCATGCTTCCTGCTTGCTCATGGTGGATAATCATGCAGGGAAATACAGAGGCAGGTGCTCATTTCACCAAGCCTCTCCAGTGTGAATAGACTCATCAGCAGCCTGGTGACTCAACAGCTCATCAAACTGCTAATTCTAAACAGTGCAGCAGAGCACATCTGTAGGGCACCAATCTCATTTTCATGCCAAAATTTGTCTCCAATCCTGCAGTATTTATTCACATTTTCTTGCCCTGCCTTCTGCGGAATGCACTCATCACTGCCTTTAAGTAACACTTTAGAATTCATACCTTACATAATGGCAATAGTCTCACTCACTATGATGCTAGAAAGCCAAGCTAAAAGAACTTCTTTGGGTATCCTTAGCATTAGCGAACCGGAGGAATAAAAGCGGAAGGAGCTCAGGAATGTTTATGTCTATAGGCTTTTCCATTGTTGAGTTTATTGGGTACTTTCCAGGGGAAGAATTCCCATGATGTTTAAGGAATTCCACTTGAGGATTCTATGCAAACGCTTCTCCAAGAGTTTATCTTTGTCTCCTCCTTATCGTGGGGTAAGGGCAAGGAATAGCTCCTCCTTACCCTGGAAAAGTTTAATCTAAAAGTCAGTTGGCAGTCACAGGGAGTCCTGAGAATATTTCCCTAGATTCTAGAATTATTTAAGGTTATAATACATTCTAATGTTAACAACTCCAATTAAATTTAAGGGAGTGTCAGAGCAACTCGTTCTGCTGTTCTGACAACATGGAAAAGAGACCCCAATTAAATCATAAAATGGCAGCTACTGTAGTGCTGGGGTACTGCAAATAAAAACTCTAACCTACACTGGCAGGATTTTTTTTTTCAACTATAAATAATGCTTTAACAACAAATCAGCAATTTAAAACAAATCTGAAAGTGTGGCATCGCCTATTACTATCAGTCTCATCTGGAATCATCACTATCCCAGCCAACAGAGCACTTTGTTTTCACAGAATCACAGGATGGTTGAGGCTGGAAGGGACCTCCAGAGAGCACCCAGTCCATCCCCCCTGCTCCAGCAGGGACACCCAGAGCATGGGGCACAGGGCAGCATCCAGGCGGGTTTGGAAGATCTCCAGAGAAGGAGACTCCACAGCCTCTCTGGTTCCTTCTTTGAAGGTAAATACAGATTCTAACCAAGGTTAGAATAGTGATGAATTCCATCCAATCTATGGATCATTTCCTTCCCAAAGCCAGGTAAGAAGGAAACTCCATGGAGAATCTTCCTCACACAGAGTGTGAGGTGTTCCCCTAGTGTTCTTTACTTTTGTGTCCAAAGGACAGAGAGGGAAGATGTGAAGAATAGCGAAAGGGTAGACAGGCTCACAGACCTGCCTACAGAGCAAACCTGCCTGCAGGAGCAAGGAGCCCARTTCCCTCTGCACGGAGGCGCCAGATCTCTACAAAATATTAGTTTTTTTTCTTATTTTTTTTTTAGGGTCTTCTTGACCCATAGCAGCAGTATAGTGCCATTAATGTTTCCACATAAAACATATGGAATATATTGTCTTTGACCTTGTAAATACTGCTTGGTTTTCTAGTGGAAGCACAACTCTTGAAGTCACATGGAAAACGCCCTGAGGCTCCGTGAAAGAGAAAACAAAGCACCATGAAAGTGGTTACGTATGTAATCTGAGCTCTGGCAGGGAGTGATGTTCCCATATCTCTCTGTATTTTTTTCCCAAGTCTATTAAGAATTGGTGAGTTCCTTCAAATATTCAGTGTGTAATTGAGCATGGCACCTGGCCCCTCAAATCAAAATGCTTTCTCGTCCAATTAACATAATGTCATTATTTGATCCAGATCCATCTATCAAATGAAAATGAAGGAAGGTGGACAGCTAATACTGTACAAAAAGGAGGGAAAAAAGAATTGTAGGTGTAAGAATAAGGGAAATTATATAAAAAAAAACATTTTCCAGAGCGGCGAATTCCCCTACCAATGCAACACTACTGCTCAAATGTGGATATAACTGGGGTATGTTCAATATAATTTTAGCTCTCCCAGTCAAACATAAGCTTCAGGAGGCTACTCTGAAGTCTCATGTGATATGTCTGGCAGTAGAATCATCCTAGTATTTCCACATTTTCTCTTAAGAGATGCAGGGCTGTGTACAAAAATATATATACACCATTGTGTACTATTTTCCCCTATAAATCTAATGCAGTAAAATAATTAAAAACTGGCTACTCAATTGGCTTATAGGAAGCTATATTGCAAACCTCAAGCTATCACAAGCCATCAAAAATCCTAACGTTCAGCTCTCCAAAATGTGGAATTGACAGACAGTTGTAAGATTTTAATGCCAGAGCTCTGAGGGTGCAGGATTTTATTTTAAATTGTTGTTCTGCAGAAAAGAGGGCAAGGAAGTTATATCAAAACCAGCAAAGTTATTTCAAAAACAGCAAAGTTATTTTCTGATTTCACATAGTCATTTATCTCTGAAAACTTGGGTTCAAGACAAACAACCTGCCACAAGTCTCACAACAGAGCTGTGAATGAGAGCAGGGCTGAGCAAAGATGACATCCACCCCACTAACCCAAATCTAACCTGTCTTTATCACTAATAGTATGGTTTACTGCCTTAACTATTATGACATTTCTCTTTTGGGTGGCTCTAATCCTGAGTAAAAGAGAATGATGTAGCATTAATTACCTCCCGGTGATGAGGAAGAACAAAGTGAGGATGACGAGGAGAGTGAATCCACCAACAGCAGCAGTGGCAATTACAAGAATCTGCCCCTGCTCCGCAGCCATATCAGAAGCTGAAACGGAAGCACAAAGAAAAGAGGTTGAAACTCCAGCACGCAGGATCCATGCAGAATGGGTGACAATGTCTCAGTGGCAAATGTCACAGTTACCCTGAAACCTACACTGGTTTGTTTGGTGCTCAGCAAGGGTAGGGGATGGGAATCTGCCTGTGAAGTGACAGTCTTAATCCATGCCACTCACAAAGACGAGCAGTATTTCTACCAGTAAGGAATACAGCATGTGGAATATAGCAAAGTTTTTTTTTTTTTTTTTTTTTTTTTTTTTTTTTTTTTTTTTTTTTTTTTTTTTTACAAAACCTGAATATAACACTGCTTGCTTTTATCTGAAAGAGTCTGCAGTTTCTCAGTTCATAAAAGTAGACAGAAAGTACGGAACTAATGCAGTTTCAGCATAATATGGTACATGTTTAGGACATGCAAATCTTGACAGAGTCCACAGGCATCCACTTTGAGGCATTCCCTTCCAGCAAGCTTCTTCTTCTCGCAGCCAGTACACATGCTGCAAACTGGGCACTCAGATGAACCTATTCTTAGAGAGTGAAAGCTTCATTTCATTTTGGAAGTAAAATTCAAACTACATAATATATATTTTGGTATGCCAATTACTTTTTTTAATCTTCTAAATAACATATAAATCAAAGGTCAAAGCAAAGGTCTGTGGGATCTTGATACGTACATTCACTCTGCTGCATCAGTGTCCTTTTCTAATAACTGGCAGTTCTGTGATTTCCTGGATTTCAGCATTTTAAAATGAGGAGCTGACATTATCAGTCCCTTGCAATTTATCCCAGTTTAAGTATGACAGGATTTTGGACACAAAACTACAATATATTTGTTTGCTTATCTTAACTCTGCATCATAGTCAGAGACTCTTGTCCCAGTAAGGTCAGCAGCAGTACTATGCATACAGCTAATACTAAATCGGGTTCTGCAGCACCAAAAATATACACTTAACGTGGCAGGGCTGCATGCCTGATGGAATTTGTACAGCTTTACCTATAACATACTCTTGGCATCACTGCAGTTGAAAAACACAAGTGAGTGTTTTCCTCACTACTTTTTGCAGGACATTTAGGAGTCAAAAAAGACCACAAGAATTTATCTTGTCCCCAAGGATTTCATCCGTTTATTATTTTATTCTTTATAATATTGAAAATTAACCACTGATAAAGTACCTACTTACAACCAGGCTAGTCCTGATGAGGGGAAAGTTCCCCTCACTATATGAGGGGAAAAACAATTAAGCTCCACTCTATCTCCTGCTTTGTGACTTCCAGGTTTCTTAAACTCAGTTATGTTTGGACATTTTCGCCAAATGACATGTTTTTCTAAATCACACTTTCAAGTTTCTATGCAAAAATGTAACGGTGCTCTGAAAGACCATTCTGTGACCTCCTGTAACAGTAAGAAATTCAGAAGAGAAATAAAGTCTTTGGATTCATCAAGAGAGCAACTTTGATTTTGTAAATTTGTAAACTATCCAATAAGCAAAGTCTTCAGTTCTCCTTGGGCACCAGATGATTAAGGCTTAGGGAAATCACCTAAGTTTCTGTAAAGAGAGCGTTCAGAAAGCTGTATTCTTTCACTTTACAATTGCTAAAACCCAGTGCAATGCACACATAACTGCCCAAAGACTCAAAAAGCTGTTTCCAGGAAAAACATTTGACTTCTATATAATATTTGTGAGTGGTTTAGAAACTAGTATTATTAACTGGCTTTGTAAGGATAGTAAAGCAAATAAAAACAATAGTCATTTATGTAATTTATGTCCGATTTTCAGTAAAAACAAATTGTTAGATACCTACTACTAAGTTTCTGCCTACATAATTTAATGGATATATACATAGGCAGTAAATTACAATGCATTCAGTATCTGTGGTCATAAACTCTGCAGAGACAAGTTAAATACATAAATCTTCCAACAAGTGATGTAGCAAAACCCATTATCAAATACTCACTGAACAGCTAAGCTGCAAAAGGGCAGCTAGCAATATCGGAATGCATTCTAGGCTCCTCATCATATTACATTTCATTGAGTCAAATTCACTTGAGAAAATACAACTTAATAAAACACAATGGCACACAAGTAGCAACATAAATAATAACAGTAATTCCAGACTTTCTGTTCAAACTTTGAATACTATTTTCAAACTGCCTAGGGCATAAATGTTGTGAGGATTTTCAAAGCCGGGGACAGTGTTAAGTTGTAAAATGAGGAGGAAATTGTGAATGAGTGTATTTTGCTACTGTTTGAAAAGGGCAGGGGTAGGAGCAGAACAGGACACAGTTTTTTTTCTTCCCTGAGAGGAAGAGGTGTGCAAAAATAATTAATTCAGCAGGAGAAAAGTGAACCAGGGCCTCAGATAAATTAGCTGTGATTTTGCTCAACAGACATTCATTATGAAGGAGACAAGCCAGGGCTTTCCTTCATGAGAATTAAAGTTCAGGGCACAAATGAAGGAACTGATCCATGATCCAAAGAAACATTCTGCTAGCTACTGAGATGAAAAAGGTCAGGTTTCCTGGACCAATTTTGCTGGATAGAGCTGCTATTTCTGGGCCTTCTCGCTAAGGCAGAATGCAATCTATCAGTTTAATAACAGGTATTTTCTATCAGGAACTACAGGCAAGTTCATGAAGAAGGGACAAATTTCATATCGACTTAGTCCTTTCCACCTCTAACCAATACAATTTTTAGCTGTGACTGTACATTCCTAAACAGTGATCATTCTGTTTCTCTTGTTTCTATTCCACAGTGTTGGCAGAGATGCCAGAATCCCATATATTACAAAAACATAGATATATTTTTTCCAACTAGCCAAAACACTACAAAGGGGCTTTCAAGCCTGAAACTTCCCAATGACCTTAATTTACTTGTCAGATAAAAATGTCAAATGACCGACAAGAATAATTGGAAAATGTGGATTTGTTAAAAACTGACAGCAGGTAAGGGAAAATGATGGAAATACTTATTTTTCCTTGAAGTGATCCCTTTATAAATCAATAAAGGCACAGTACAATGAACAACACACATTTAAACAGAAAGACATGCGTTCAGACTCCTCTTCACACACAGGTGAAATGCTCCAGGAAACATTACTCAGGTAGTGAGAAGACGTAATAAAGCAAAACATAGTAATTAATAATTTACAACACTCTTGAAAGCACAAGCATATTTAGGCATTTTGCCATTCTAAGTGAAATTCAGCTCATGTTCCTCAATCACTGTGTCCTTTTTTTTTCATTTCCCCTTTCTTCTCTTAATCAAGGCTATGTTTAAACTGTAAATTGCACGAGCTTCAATATGCAGAATGTTTGTCATGCATGTTCTCCATTCTTTTTTTGTTATTTCCTGCTTTCCTTTATTTTTTTTTTTACTCTTTTACTTTATTTTTCATTTATTTATTTGTTTTATTATAGAGTTTTTATTTACTCTTCACCAGCTGAGCACTTGGTATACGTCCCTCTGTTTTTCCTCAGTATTCTCCATTATGCAGGACCAAAAACCAATTATTACAGGTTGCAAGGCCAATCAAGTTTTTGCAGTCTTAGTTCATCCCTCTCTCTTTAATCATGGGATCAAACAGCAGAAAACACACTCAGGGGTCAGGGTACAACTGGCAGTTCAGTGACTATAGGGGCAAATGTTAGGTGTGTGGGGCCATACTCTATTTGAAAAGTTAGTAGGGGACATAGTTAGGAAGGATTGGTGGAAGAGTGTTATATTGCTAGCAGTCCCATGGGAAGACTATTGCCACCTTAGCTTCACTTGTCCCTATTCCATTGACCCTATTCCTTTCTTGGACATTCAGGTCAGCCCTGCTCTTTCTGACACGGTGACCAGTAGCACTTTCTTTCTTCATCAGCCTTCATGGAGGTACGTAAGCAGGAGGGAGGTGATATCCATCCCCAGCGCTTGGTACAGGTTGGTGCACCAGCACCACTTCAAAAAGGATTAGGATTTGCTATGATTACCTTGCTGGTGCTTGGACACAAAAGGTGAACTGGTTTGCCAGGTTTCTTCCATAGAAGTCTCACATATATATCATGAGGCTGGCTGTTCTTTTATCTGATAAGATGGATCATTCTCTGTGCCATCAGCTCAATAAGATCATTTTGACAAAAATACACTTAAAAAATGAATGGGACAAGACTAAGATAAGGGAAGATTTATTGCTTATCTCAGAAGATTATAAGATAATTTGCCACAATGTTTGAGTGTCRTAACCCTTCAAACACAGCATAGCTGCAACTAATATGATTAGTCAAAGTGCCGAATTGATTCTGGAACTAAATCATGTCTCATATATATGTCCAGAAGCATATTGYCACATTATTTACATACCTTTAATACGTGAATATTTAATAGCTTTGTTCCTTTCTTACTTAACGCCATGACCAGAAATTTATTTTGTACCTAGTTTTGCTCCCTGGTCTGCATCTAGCCTGGGATATGCTCTGTCTTCACCAGGGATATGCTCTATCTTCATCATCTGTTCTTCTCTTTCAAGTCCTGTCTCAGCTCCTCTCTGGGTTTTTTACCCAAACCCTTGGAGCAGGAGCTGCAATTTCTGTCCTCTCCTGGCTGGAGGGAAATATCCCAAGGCTTCTTCACTGGACAGACTGGAAGGATCARTGCAAAAAGTTTTAACCACAGGGCAGGAGGATAAAAAGGGCAGAGAATCTTCCAAGTCTTTCTTTTTACTTTCATTTCTTTTGGCAAATTTCTCCAAAAATTTGTAAAAAGTTGTCTTTTTGGTATGAAAGGGCTAGAAACCCTAATACCATCTCCGTTCTGTCTCTCAGCTACACGCTTTAGTTATTTTAGTTTGACATCCATCAGACAGTGGACCTTCCAGCAGAGTGAAAGGCAGAAAAGTGACAGAAAGGCAGCTAGACAGATAATAGAGAGCAGCTGTAAGACAGATAAGTGCGGATGGTGAGGACTGGAGCTCTAACAGACAGGGGCTGTCACATGGATTTACAAGGCACTG